AAGAGGCAAAAACTGCAGGAGAAAACTCTATGGAAAATGAGAGTTAGCCAAAACTGTATAGTCATAGGAACAGAGATCAATGGTGTCAAATTCTAAACAGGGATCAGGACACTTGGAGATTTAGATGAGACCAAAGGCCAAACAAGAAGATATACATTTAACTGCTTTGTAGTGAAGTTAGAAATGCTTTTTTTCAAGCAAATATCAATTGGTATGGCTTACAAAATGTGTTCTAAAGAGAAAAAAACCTCAAATACAATGTGCCTTCTTCATTAAGGCAGTCATCATAGAAAATTTCCTCTTTGCTAAGCACAAAAATGCGAAGAGTCATTGTGAAATCAGCAAACTACAGTAATCAACCATATCTAGTATTTTCCTGACATTACCAACCACGTAATGAGACAGGACTGGTGGTTTACAAAGTCTAAATCAGCTATCATTTCTTCACCATCCAGATTTAAACCATAAATTAGCAGCACAGTCACTATGACAGGCTTTACCCATCATCATTTGCATCCAATCAGTTAATGACTGGCAGGTGTCTTCAGGATCCATTACTGAAGGCAGCAGTTTTAATGTATAATGCTTCATGAGGCTTAAATCCTATCCTGTTAAAGCACATGAAGACTCCACAATTTGCAAATGCTTTCAAAGAAAGAGAGCTATTTGTAATCTCAGAAAACCTTCTAAAAGATTGGTTTTAAAGTGTTTCTAATCTTTTGTAAGGCTCAAACAACAGATTAAGAAAAATGAAGGAAGATTACTGTCAGTCTCATAACTGCAAAGGAAGTAACTGCTGTCGGAATTATTATTAGCATGTTATAAATAGAAAAATAAGGAACCTGGATTCAAAGAGTTTTGCCTGTATCAAAACGAAAGCACGTGTCACAAGAAAGCAGTTCTGGAATCCAAAACTAATCCAATTCTATCACTCTCATGAAGCATCCCACAGTACCTGGTGTACAGCATAATATATTTCACTTTTGCCTTACCTCCTGCATGTGCATTCTACGTCTAAACAGATTATAAACTCCTTAACTAGAAGAGCAATGACCATGACATTTACTAATGTAAATGTCATTACTGTATCAGGCAATGTCATTACTGTGCATATGGCATTTTATAATGCAAAAACTCCCAGCCTCTTGTATCATATATTGTAGAATATACTGACAATACATACAGACAATAATCATATTAATACAGAAAGTGTAGTATGTCAAATGGTATAAGAGCTATGAAAATAAAGAACGAAAGAAGATAGGGAATTCTGGATAAAACAGAGGCAGAAGGGCAGCAGTAATTCTTAGCAGGATAGACAATGTTATATATAACATCTTACATTTAGTGCGATCTTTGGCCGACCAATGGAGGTGAAGAAGAACACAGTGACATTTGGGGAAACACATTATACCAAGAAGCAATGACAAGAGCAAGAGCTCAGAGGTAGGAGTTTACCTGGCATGAAGAGTCACCAGCAGGGCTGGACTGGAGTAAAGAAAGAAAAGGCTGCTAGATATAAAGGAACATGGTGGTGATTGTATGATTTTATTTTAAAAAAATAACCTAGTACATGACTAGGGGTGGTAGAATGCCAGACATAATATGACAAGTTTCTCCAAAGGGTCACTAGGGTAGCCAGCTAAATGTAAACTCAAAGGATATGACAATAGAAACAGGATTTCAGCTCAGATATTAAAAAGACTGGAAGTCGTCACTCCCATTCTTAAAACATGAAACATTAAACACACTGAAAATCAGTGAAATGTCTTGAAATCATCACTCAACCACCACCTTGAAGTCTGGAAGGACAAGCAATTCCAGATAGTCATGGCAGAGGAGAGATTACTTAGAGCAGGAGCTATTGGAGACAGAAACTGTTAGGAACAATTAACTGGAAATTTTAGCCAGTTGCTTTAGTTTCGACTGTAAATAGTCAAGAAAGATACTCTCCTGGCTCTGGCAAGGGAAAGGGGAGGAAAAAAAGTCCTATGAAATATACCCAGAGCATTCTCCACACAAAACTACTTTCTAGGAGAAAGACCTTACTGAAGTCTGTCCTGAGCTATGGGGGAAGAACCACTTCAACCACTTCTAGTCTCATTGTCTCAACTAGAAGTGGGACACATGGAAAGCCAAGGAGCAATTATGAAGGTCAATAGCCCAGAGAAACTGAGATTTAGTCATAAGACAACAGAACACCTATGTATGTAAGTGGAAAAATGAGATCTATTGAAACTACTCCAGGACTGGAGGGAGGGGTGATAAAGGAGAATGATGGAGGGATGGATGGCTTCAACTACGATATATTGAAAGAACTTTTGTAAATGTCACAATGTGCCCCAGTATAACAATAAAAAAAAAAAATAGAACACCTCTGGCCAAACCTAAACAGCCCAAGTATAATAATAGTGGGTTGTAGCTGAAAAAAATGCAACTGAGTCTTTAGGGAGGTCCAACTGTAACAATGAGAATAAAAACAAGGACATTAGAGGATCTTGACACCTCTGGCAACTAAGACTACAGCAAACATTCCAACTCTCAGCCACATTAACATAAAAATTTACACTAAAGCCACAGCTGGTGTTATAAAACACATCATGTCTGACTTGAAATAAAAAAATGACAAAGAGACTGGGGGCATGGTTCAAATGGAACAGCACTTGCTTAGGAAGCATGAGTCCCCCCAGGCTCAAGCCTAGTTTTGCCAAAAAAGGTAAAAAAGAAGCGGGGTTGCGGTGGGGGCAGAGCAAGATAAAAGATAAGAAACTAGAAACGGAGATTTCAGGTAATTTCAGGTGAAATACAATTGTGGCTTGGGCCATGGCTAATAAAAAGTGGTCAAGTTCTGGATGTATTTCTGAAGACACAGCAGAGAGGAATTACTGATGGAATGGAATTGGGGAGGGAAAGTAAAAAAGGAAAGATGGATGACTCCCAGGTTCTGCCCAGAACTGCTGGGAAGATGGAGTTACCATCAACTGAGTGAGTGAAGAAATGACTGTACATTTGAATCATATCACTAAAATAGTGTATCCAGAATCATAACAGTCAACAATCATAATAGTCATCTAATGCTGAAAAACACCTGAGAATTTAAAATACCTAAGAATTTTAAAAACTGGAACAGAAACTTATGACCTATATCTGAGTATATGTCCTCTCTGTCTTTCAGAGTAAGAAACTTTAGCTGGATACTTGGTTTCCCAGAATACAGATAATATTTCCCAGCCCTCCTTGTAGCTAGGTGTAGCCAATGGTGTAAGCAAACATGGTGTGTGTAATTTCTGTAATAAGCCTTAGAGAGAATGGGTACACCCACAATTTGCCCTTTCTCTCCCTCTTCCTATCAGCTGTGGTGCTGATGTGATAATGAGCCATCGTGGACCACATGGACAGAGTGACACCACTGAGATGGCAATGGAACAAACGAGAAGGAGCAGGGATTCTGAAGACCCATGGCGCCATCTTATCAGCTCTGAGCTGCACATACTTAGATTGGCACATGAAAGAATACAGCTTCTATCTTATTTAAGCTCCTGCTATCTTAGCCCTTTGTAACAGTACTTAGCCTGATATTTAACCAAAAATTTTAATAATAAATCCTCAGAACAACCCTGTGATGCAAATAACATGCTAGGAGGATTTTGTTTTAATTCCTCATCATGTTTCTGTTTTAAAGAACGAAAAAGTAAGTTGGCAACAGAGACTAGTTTTATATACTTATATCTACCAGTGAAGAAGAACTAGCCGAATATTATCCTGCAATAACTAACTGCAACAATTTCTTATAGCAAAATTTGGGTTCAGGCATTTGATAAACATTGCACTATTCACTACCTAGAAAAGTGACAAGACAATGATTTTTCAAAGAGAACTGAGGAATGATATGCTATCCACTAGTTCAACTTTAATGCTTCCATTTTCCATTAAAATCTCTGTAATTTATGAAGAGTTAAAAATAGAAACAATTGATTCCTTGGCTGAAAGAAATGTGTAGTTGTCCATTCAACTCTTGACTTAATTTCTGCTAATCAGATAAGGATGCCAAAGTTGCTTTTGGGTATCTTGATCTTTGGATATAAATCCAGATATATATTAGTAAGCCATTTCCATGTTTTTGAAACAGTTTTCCATCTTTGCTATTTGAATCTTGATGCAGAATTGTGTTGGGAAGACTTGAAAAATCCAAGTTCAAATGTCGCACAAGCAGTTATAATTTAAAGGGTAAATTAAAAATGATTTATGAAGAAAAAGATAATCTAGCACTATTTACTCTGATGTATTTCTGCACTAAAACTGTACACTTATTTTCATTCAGTTGTTCTCTCGTTCCCATCACCAATTAAATTGCCTAAACCAGAGTAATCCATTTTAACTGCTTCTGGCTATTCACTTTACTTTAAAAGAAACTAGTTTCTGCTCTGTCGATCGATTTTGAGATTTGCTAAAATAATTTTCTAAACCAAAAGCAATAAAGGAAGGTATAATCAATCTTCTCATTCTATAGTGAAAAGTTTATTTTCCTAAGTGACTTAAGAAATCTTAAGAAAGAATGTGTTAACTGCTTGGCAATGGGCACCATATTTAACCCCTGCAAAGCTAACAGTGACTCCCGCCTCCATTTGCACACACTGACATCTGGAAACAGAATTCCAAGTTCAGAGGTAGCCTTACCTCTAGGTGGAGTGGTATTTCCTCAGGCAATGCTTAGAAAAGAGAAGAACTACAGGATACTTAAGTGAGATAACCTGACCTGTTACATGATGAAAGAGATGTCTATTAGCAATATCTTATAATGAGGAAAGCAAGCATTTTTCTAAATTCTCTGGACAGACATAATTAAGAACATAGGAAAAGACTTCCCTGTTCCAAGTATAGAATGCTGCATATGCCTCTAATCATCTTACCTTCTTCTGTAACGTTGCATTTCAAGAAGCAGAGATAGAAAAGGCCAGAAGTATAAATAGACCAAGCAAAAGCATAAAATAAAATATTACCTTTAGCTGGGTTTACTTTTATCCCTGACCTATATAGCATTTCCTCATTCTGCCAGTCTCCATTCCTGATCGCAGTCTTGAGTCCATAGAAAACAATTAATGTTGCTGTAGCATAAAAAATCAAGGTCTTGAGAAACCGCTTTTGGACTTTGACATAAAGGGCTCTGGCACCCACTGTAATCAAGAGGCAGAAGCCCATACTAGGAATATATAATACTCGCTCTGCAATTACAAAGCCAACATAGAAAAACAGGTTTGTGGCAGGAATAAAGGGTATTATCAACAAAGATAAAGACAGGACGACAATGTTTTCCGTAGAAGGGAGTTGTGTTCTTTGTGACACATTATTTTTAATGCCATTTTCTACTTTGGATGCAAAGCTAAGCTTAATCTCTGAGTTCCGGTACTCCACATCTGAATGGCAGCTATGTCCATTTGCATTCGGCTTGCCATTTGCTACAGCTTTCCCGTTGCATTCTCCTTCTAAGCTTGGGCTCTTCAAACCATAGTAGGCCAGGAGAAGGAGTCCAGTATAGAAGGCCACAGTGTGTAGGTTTCTCCAATCACAAATGGTTTTGAGCAGAGGCACAGCATCCATGGACCAGTCAAAACTGAGTGTATCTGGGCACAGCAACAACCACAGGTTCTTGGTTGGCAAATAGAAGAAGGTGAGCATGCGAGCCAGGAGGCTATCCGAATCAGCAGCAGGGTTGTCAGAGTTGGAAAAGCTTGGTGGTTTGTTTCCCATCCAGTATAACCGGGCACCCAAAAGGGAGGTTCCCCAGAAAGTTAACAAACTAATGCTGAGAAAAAGAGACAAGTTCTTCCTCTGAAACCAAAAGAGAGGGAGAGAAATAAAGATCGTCATCAATACAGCGTGGGAATATTTCACTTAACATTAAGAGGTGACATACATTTTTAAATGGCAATTAAAACATAGCATTATATCTACTACATGATTCCTTTCTCATCTCCTTTTAAACATGCTTAGACAAATTTTAACCTCAAAAAATTAATAGTGGAATCCTAATATATAAGAATCAATTTAGGAAGTAACACATATGTTCATGGAAGCAATACAAGGAATCTCCCTATATAACTATCCTTACCTCAACTAGCAAAAACCCCTGGTCCTCCTTATTAATGTTCATACTCTCTCTTCAACAAAATTAGAGATAAGGGCAAAACAGTTTCTGCCTGGAAGCGAGGAGGTGGTGGGGAGAGGGAGGAGTTAGGGGGAAAGGAAGGGGGCGGGGGAAAGGGGGGAGTAATGAACCAATCATTGTGTGCACATATGAATAAAGGAAATATAAAAAAAAATTAATTGTGGAATCCTAATATATCTTTAGATGAATATCTTTTTTTCCTTGATAAAATACCAATAACCAAAACTTCAATGTCTTGATCTCTAAAAAATGAATTAAATAGTGTTGGCAGGTCAAAATGAGAACACAATATTACAATACTTAGCACTGTATGAGATACAGCAGGCCCCAAATAATTGTCTTCTTTCATTTTATAATTCAGGCTTTGTGAGGAAAACAAAGAACAGACATATCAAAAAATATGGGGCATGGCAAGTCTGCTCAAATCTTAGGCGTTAAGGACGTTTAGCTATGTGTATACCAGTCTCCATTTCATTGTCTTCAGTCACCTTACAGAAATGTAGACCAGGCTGCCTCATGCTGTTAACACCAGCATTTAATAACACACCTCATGTGTGTGAAATTTTTCATGTTGGTATTTTTTAACAACAAAATGAATAATGGACTTACTTATTTCAACAAAAGGAAGATTCTCAAAGGAAGCCAAAGAACATTCATGTTAATGAGAATTTTTTGGCAAACTCCTTCAATCTAAGCAAGAATATCAGTGATGGAGTTGGCCTTGATGGCAAATGCACACCTTGCCAGCAATCAATAATCAAAAGGATCATGAGTTCAAGACCAGCCTAAGTTACATGAGATCTGGTTTGAAAAAAAAAAAAAAAGTTGGGCACGTAGCTAAGGGGTCGAGTACTTGACCAGCATATGCCAAGCTCCATTTTTGATGCCCAGCACAAAAGAAAAACAAAAAGAACATAATGACATCTAACAAAGTAAATCTTAAAATGACAGTGGTAGGAGGGGAAAGAATGGGTAACATATTCCAACCCTAATAATTCACTGGCAGTGTGATTTCTTATGGGAAGCATTCTAACATTGCATAAACTGTCTTACTCAATTATTCAAAATTAATCTTACAAAATATATGCAAAATATTACATTTAAAAAACAACACATAAAGAGCAATATATCAGAAGATGTGCAACTCCAATTAAAATACTATGTATTGAAAAGAACTATACACCAATTCTTTTCAGGCTCCTTCTCATCCACCCTAACACTAAGTGTGAGGGTGTGAGCACTGCTCATAGATACTCTCTCCATCTCTACTTCAACCTAACGATGTCAGTGAGGTTCATGACTTTAAACATTACCAATACATACAAATGACTGAATCCACCCTTCACCTCCTTTCACCCCCATTGTTGAGTTGCCTATTGGACATATTCACTTGATTACTGTGAGCATTTAGCAATCACTTCAGTTATTGTAGAAGGCTGAGGAGGCCTAACCAAAACACCTCTCCAAAAGATTGTGCATATAAGCTGAATAATAGCTATTAGTACCTACAGCCATTGAGCTGCTATTCTTAACCTTACCATTTATATTTTACTGACCATCTCTATATTTATTACAGAACTCGTGATTTCATGCCCTCCCCAAACTAAATAACAGAGTTGCTACTTCAATCATCCCTATCCTGAGATTATGCTAATACTACATAAAGGTTCTTCTTCATAGCCTCTTTCTTTCCTTCCTTCCACATTCTAGTCACTATCAAGTCCTTTAAACTTCTACTTCAAAATGCATTCAAACTCTGTCCATTTCCCTTCGTCTCATCTGTCCCAGTTGTCAAAGTGGGAATATCACAAATTTTTCTCACTGGAGACCCTGGCCTTTTAAACACAAATTATTTATTCCCCTATTTTAAACTCATATACGAGCACACAATATTTCAACTCATCAGTGAGATCTTATCCTAATATCTTTGAAGTTCTTCTCTCTACAAAATACAATGTTTAAATTCACTGACCACCCTCACCCAGATTGTAGTACATAATGTCCCTTTTTACATTCCCAAATTATTTTGAAAACAAATTAAAACCCATAACAGGGGTTTACTCTGAGTATAAGAAAAGAAAAGTAAAGGAACAGGAAGTGAGAAATAAAAATTCAGAATTAGGAAAATAAATATCATAAAAAGATGGAAATTGTGGACAACCCAAAGAGTAGAAATATTTAACATCACATGATAATAATGCCAAATTCACAATAACTACCCTAGTATTTTAAAAGCACAGAGCCTGGCACCAGGTGGCTCATGCTTGTGATCCTAACTAGGGAGGCAGGGATCAGGAGGATCACCAATTCAAAGCCAATTCTGGGCAAAAATTCACAAAACCCTACCTCAAAACACCCAACACAAAAAGCGGTTGGTGGAGTGGCTCAAGTGGTAGAGTGCCTGCCTAGCAAGTATGAGGCCCTAAGTTCAAACCCCAGTCTCACCAAAAAAGAAAAGAAAACCATCCATGCCACACTTTAGTTCTTGATTAATTCATGAAATGCTATACTGAATTTTAAATAGTAGGAAAGAGTAATATCAACCATCATTGATCCTTTTTGGGGGGTATGGGCTAGATTAAGTTTAAGGTTTGCCTTAAACTTCCAATCCTTCTGCCTCAGGCTCTCAAGTGCTGGGATTACAGGAGTGCCCACAAGCTCAGCTAATCTTTAATTTCCAGGTCTGTCCTGGCAAAATGAGACAGTGAAAAGCCTCATTACCACCTAGGAATAACTTCTGCAAACCATTCAATAGCTCTTTAGATATCCCACCCATAAAAAGGCCCTAAAATTTCTGCATTTTAGAAAAAAAATGACAAAAAGCCATAACTTAAAATTTGTTACAACTTGGTAACTCATATAATTGGGTACTCTTAAATTACACAAGGGAGATACATACCATTTGGCAAATATAAAGGAAACAAGACATCACAGGTAAAGAAGATTCCTCTAAGGAAATAATTAGACCCTGAATGCATAGCAAGACCCCACTTTGAAAGTGGTACCCAAAGCATTCTATTAAAGAGACTGGGAAGGTAAGGAACGAGGAAGAGAAAAAGCACACGAAAAGTAGTTATAATCAGGCAAGAAAACCAGAAATGCAGGAAAGCCACATGGGGAAGGGAAATGGGGTCAGATATCTGCTAATCATGTAATTCAAGATGAATTTAGTTATAACAATTATATAAATTTGATTTTATTCTTTAAAGATAGGCATGTCATACCAGGAAAAACTATTCGATCTTGAAATTTTAAATAAAAACATCTTTAATATTTTATTAAATTTTAATAATTATGAAAATAAAACATTGAGATTGAAGATGTGGCCAGGTTATACTGTAGGCTGAGGCCAGCCTGGGCAACATGCAGAGACTCTGTTTCAAAACAAAGCAATAACAAGGGCTGAGAATGTTAGCATTGTGATAGTGTAGGCTTAGTATGAGCCTGGTAACACACATCCACACAAATACAAAATAAATAAAATAAAATAAGTCATGGGTAATGAAAACTAGTCAATAGTAAATAAGTTTAATTATTGAGAAAGTGACATAAAATGAAAAACAAGAGTAAAATACTGACATTAACTAATGTAGGACTTCTAATTAAGCCTGTATAAAGCCTCTATACTTAACTGTATATTTCATAAATAGTTTCCCATTTAAACAACTGACATAATACGAAGGCACCTTAAATTCTGAAAGAAGATGTTTTCAAACACTTGTTCTAACTTGATGGTGAGGTCTACAAGGGTTAAATAAAAGGTACAGTTATGGGAAAACTGAACCCCTAAGTAACGTTGATATTAACATGTTTACCAGAGAAGAGTTTCTAAGGCCTTGTGACCGATTTCCACTTTTAACTATCAGCCTAAAGTTGCAATTATAACTTTCAAGTCTCTTTAAGGCCTTCTTGTAGAAATTTCTAAATATTTATCACCTTATGAAAAATGTGATTTCAATAAATCCAAATCTCCCTGGTAATCTCATTCCCTAATCCTGTGATGCTTTCTTTTCTTTTATCTTGTTTTAAAGGCATTAAAAAAGTTCAGTTTCTAATACAGTACCTATGCTCTAATCTATGGATTAAATTAAATTAGAAAACTTTTATTGAAACATAAATTTGTTTTAACATTGTTTTTCCTTTCCTCCTTGAAAGGGGATCTCTCTCTATGTTGCCCAGACTAGCCTCTAATGCAAAATCCTCCAACCCTCAAGTCTATCGACTCAGGCCTCCACCTCAGCTCCTTTAATGTTTCTTTGCTCTTGGCTTGGTGAGTCAAACTTATTCAATACCTGGGTGTCTAGATAAATAAGCCACAAGTATTCCAAAGAGTTGAAACCAAAGGTTTAAAAGCTTAAATTAGCAAAAATCCACACAAAGAAGATAAACACTTCAAAGTGTAACAAACTTAAACATGACCTGAATACAAATTTTCAAGGGGAGCCTTAGAAAACAACTGTAGCCAGGTGCCAGTGCCTCACACGCGTAATCCTAGCTGCTTGTGAGGCTAAGATATGGAGGATCACGGTTCACTTGCCTAGCAAGAACAAAACTCTGAGTTCAAAATGCCCAGTACCACAAAAATAAAGAGCTGAGATTTAGTAGCAAAACCGTAATTAGTTAATTCAAGATGTCTTTAAGGCTGTTACATATGACAAGTACT